ACCGGAAGAGGTAGTATCTGAAGCTTCCGTGACCTGATAGTAGTTGGGTGAGGAAAAACCCCGTTTATTACGTTGAATTTCTTTGTTAAAATTGGTAAGTGAGTGCTTTAGTCTCCTGACAACAGAATTGCGATCTCAAAATTGGACAAAAATGACAAGTAGCTGAAAAAATGGAATCAATGGATGCGATATATCGCATGCCTTTCTGACAAAAAATATAGCGTCCATCGAATCACCTTAAACTCAGCTAAAGAGGTTACTTTCTCTTTGCGTAGTGGTGTCCATTTAGTTCCTTCCGTCAAACGGCTTTTAGTTCCCTAGTAAAAATTGGCATTAGAATATGTGTTCCAAAATACCATAGACCTACAGCCAGCTGTAAGATTTCCAATACTTTCTATCGCCGGTTACAAAATTTCTTATAGCCTTTTATAGCCGATGGCGATTAAGCAACAGCCAAGCGATAACGTGTATGCTAAACGTTACTAATTACGGATGCTAGGACTTAGTGAGTTTTTTGACTACTGCTCTCTTTTTGGGCCGTAGTATCTTGATTTATTTTGCGAGGAAAGCTCCTTACTTTTGATGGATGCCTGCCATTCCTAATCTATTAGAGCGCCTTCAGTTTCGTATGATCCTGTGTAATACTTCTGATGTGAAATAGTTGCTTCAAGCACCGTGGTACGCTGCGGCGCGGCGCGGCGGGCGGGCAGCCAGCGCGGAACGCGCATTGGCGCCTTCAAACCTAACAGGGATACTTCACGCATTGCGCAATGCGTGAAGTATCCCTGTTGGGTTTGTAGGCGCCAGTGCGCCGTCGCTCCGCTTTGTGTTAGGCTCTAATATTGAATCTGGAGGATTCAGCGTTATTCAACTCATGATTTTGAAATGTTTGCACATCCTGTATGGATTATTCTCATTTTAATTGATGAAAAAAAAGATGTATTAAAGGAAAATATAATGTGTGTTTTGTTAATATTAAGGTGGTTCCGTATCAAACTCAATGATTTCCAAAGCACACGAATTTCTACACAATTTCTTATAGCCTTTTATAATCGATGGCGAAAAAGCAACAGCCAGGCGATAAAGTGTAAAACCCGGCGATATGAACAATAGCCCGGCTGCATAATTTTTTATCGCTTCGTATAGTCCGACCGTATGATTTTCTCCGCATTCTACAGCCAGCAATATGATTTTCTGTAGCCTTCTTTAGCCGTCTATAAGAATTCCTATGGTATTTTGAAACGCAGCTCTTATCGCCAATTTTTACCATGGTTCACCTTTTTACTTTTTACTTCGGGCGGCCTGCCCGGATTGGCCATCGTGTAAAAAATAAAAGTAAGTAATTTAAAATCGGTTTTGAAAAAATTTCAATTTGCATCAAGTCATTTGCTCATAGTACCGATAAAGTTTTAAAAAATAGTGCGTTATGTTACAACATAGTAAGACGATAATGGACATGTTTTACTCCAGCAGCAAAAATTATGACAAAAAATATGAAAATAGGTGCACTAGACTACTTTAAAATAAATGCTTGCCCCTCTCCTTCAGATCAGGACAAGCAGATTAATTTATAAGTTAGTTAATAAGCGGAGAAAAATCTAACTCGGAAAAAGGAAAACATTTCAGACAAGCCGCAAAGCTGAAGGTGCAATCTTGTATATTTTTTTTAGTAAATTGAAAAATGACCTCGGCACTTCCACATTATGCACCGAACTTTACTTAAAACTCGACTTTTACCTATTTACAAGTGTCCGTCTTTTAAAACAACTTGGAATCTTGAGAAAAGACGAGAACCGAATGCAGGTAGATTCATTCCGTCCACTTCAATGACTCAAGCTTTCGATGTGATATTACACGATGGCGAAATTGCAAAAGCGCATGTCTCGTTTGTGGTGTCTCAAAATTCCCGCTTCTATTTGATTTAATACAGGGAGGACAAACGTATACTATTGCTTCAAACTTTCATGGAACATTCTTCGCACCGAGAGGAAAATTCATGAAAATTTTCAAGACACCAAGTCAAGTTTTTGGCCGATCAAATAATAAATGGATTACATTTCGCAATAAGGAACCACTATATCCGGTCCTTCCAGAAAAGCACCTTTCTGCATTGGAAGACCGCTGATCCATAAGTTGTTTCTAAAATGAGACAGATAGTGGTACCTTATAGAAAAATGTGGTCCAAATGCCACTTCGTCGTTTCTCTGACGGAGGAACATAACTCCATTTCAACGTTGCAAAACTGACTCAGACAATTCAATTTTTTACGAAAATGTACCTGTGCAATTGTCTGATTTTGTCTGATTCTTGCATGAGACTTCTAGAGGAGAAATCAATGAACATTTCAGTTAAAAATATCCAAGTTTCCCCCGATAAAAATGTAATTTGTGAGAAAAATTTGGAAATATTGAAATGTGGGGCTCGGAGGACAAGGAGCACAAGTGCAGTTGTTGTTCCTTTGAGAAGTACGTGTTTGACGATTCGGAATTACATTTGGACGTATTTATGCCAAACGGAGCCATGTGCATTATAACGTGAGCCCTGTTAGGCATATATTCTTACGGGTCTCGGGGCCCATGTCTTAATGCACGTTCCGTTTGGCAGAAATACGCCCGTTTATCCTTATGGCGGGAAGAAAGTTCAAACGGACTATTTGATGCTTAAAAATTGGAATTTGGGAGCGCATTTTTTACAAAATGTGCTTCAGAACTACTTTTACTCGAAATGATCGGTATATCAATTATTTCAAAAACTGCATTTATGGGCCTTATCCTCCAAGCCCTTGAAATGTAGTAACGTTCTTTCGTGGGGTGAACGACAAATTAACTGGAAACCTGAAGCGTGGGAAATGGTGATACCCATTTTTGGAGTATGAGCGTGTGCCGTAGAGCGATTTACTTACCAAGATTTACGATTTACTTAACGGTAACTTTTTCATGATGGTAACTTTTTCATTCTATTTAACTATGGTAACTTTTCCATTCTATTCAACAATGGTAACTTTTTCATTCTATTTAACATGGTAACTTTTTCATTCTATTTAACTATAATGGTAACTTTTTCATTCTATTTAAATAATGGTAACTTTTTCATTCTATTTAACTTTTCTTTTTCCACGATTCATATTTTACTCATAATTTTAATTTTACTTTTAATATCTTATTTAATTAATTTTAACTACCATATTTTCAGTTTTCACATTTTGTCTTTTTAATATTAGTGTCAATAGACCACCAAAAAGTGCCCTTCTCATACTGTATTTTTACAGGGTTAAATATAAGTGTTAAAAGACTCCATGAGTCTGCTCACATCTCTGTATTGTATATTTAAATTGGACGTATTTATACGAAAGGGAACTATGCGCCAAACTTCCAAATTTNGTGATTCAAGTGGAGATAGCGCCTTTTGATTTAATTCGGAATCCGGGTTAGCGCATTAAATCAAATGGACCTACGTGAAAAAATCCCCTATATCTCGCTTAATATGCATTTTTTCCTAATTTGGGCAACGCACGTAATTAGAGGAACTCTTCAGCTTTCAAACAAGCTAAAGTAAACCAAAATCGGTCCATTAGTACGGAAACGCCAATTGTTTTAGTCAAACTTGCTTTACTGAGAAGTTTGGAAATGGCGTTTAGCGCCTTTTCGCATAAATACGTCCAATTGTATATAATACTGAATGAATAAAAAAAAAAAAAAAAAAAAAAAAAAAAAAAAAAAAAAAAATTACCAAGAGGCGCATCACAGAGAAGACAAGCAGCGACAGATGCGCCAGCGGAGGCGCCCAAAAGGGCGTTCTGGAGGAGGTGCGGGGCGTACTGCTTGAGGCAGGCGCCCACTCCGACGTGGTAGATGCCCAAAAACCCGCATCCGGCGAAGGAGACGTGCAACTTGGCGAATTCCTCTTTCTTCTCCATCGTCCGCGAGGCCCCGGCCGTCCGGCCCGCCAAACACATCACCTCGCCGATCCGACCGTTTGTTTGTTTGTTTACACTCGAAAACGCTGCAACCGTGCGAAGACTTCGAGGTTCCGAGTCGAAACACGCGTGTCACTCACGAAAATATCAACAACCGTGGCTATAATTTCGGACGCACGGCGGAATTGAAAATCACTCTCGACGCAAAAAGCACAAAACGCAAAAGCACTTATCTCTCCGGTCTTAATGATTGTAGATACAGACCACAGAGAGCACCCAATTTATTTTTAGTTAAACGATGGGGAAAACCAAAATCGTATGCAATAAGCGTTAACGAAAGTCCTCGTGAAAACTTAAAACGTGAATTATTTACACTCAACAGGAATTAAAACAATGAAAAGAGGTAATTATGATAATTTTACCTCTCGGGCTTAGTTTTCTTCACAATTTTTCAAGTCGAATTTAGAGTATTCAATCGGGTCTAATTTTTGACGGCGACTTCAAAATTCGAAACACCGTAGTTGGAAACTTGAATGGCGAAAAACTTTGATGATAAACACTTTGAACAAAAAACAAAACCCGGTTTTCACCTAACGCCAAATTTTTAGGTAGTGGCTAAGTTGTGGTCCTACCGGCCCGAAGGAATCACAACGAAGTGAGGTCATGCTATGCGTGCAGTCGGACGATATGATGCAGTAACGGGATGATAATGCTTATCAAGTTAATGCGTAATAGCTACAATATCAAATTATTTAACGTTTAATCACTTGCGATGTATGCCGGCTCCATGGAAAAGTCAATATTTAATCAAGGTAGCGATCAGGCGCAACCTTTCTCGATCCTTTGTCAATTTTAAAATGCTCAAAGTCCTGTGCATCCAAAGTGTTGACGCTTTTTTTGACGGACTCGTATGACTTGGTGTTAGGAGAGAAAAACTAATTTTCTACTTTTGCGTTGGAATTGTTTTCTTGTTCTCTTTTCGAATCCCACTGCGGAAAAGAATCTCACGATCTGATAAAAATATTTTTGCAATTAAAATTAAATTTATGCCGCAAAGTAAAGCCCGCACTGGATTCATCAAACACGCACATCATTCTTTCGCGTTTCTCCGTATGCGCGCTTTTCACTAGTTTACTGCCTCAATTTGAACAGCGTCACCGCGTGAGAAAATTTGGCAAAAGCCAAAAAGTTCAGTCACCATAAAATGCGGAAATACCGTTGCGAGGTGTCACATTTACAAGACAAATGTGCTTTCCCTTCATTAAAATAAATAAAATAACTCAAAAAAAGCAAACGAAATGCTAGACACGGAACGTTTTCTTCAATGAAAATTTACATTAGGAATAACGACACGATTGACCGTGAATATAGGTCAGCGCGATTTAAAAAATTTTCCGCTTAGCACGCTCATATCGACGCAGCTCTGAGTAGACTGAGTGGCTACTCAAGAGGCCGTGAAAAGGCCCGTCAAAGATGCTCTCGGCGCGACGCGAGACAATCGCGTGAGATTTAAACTATCTAAAGATTAATGGAAAACGATAACTGTACCGCAACAGTCTCAATATTCGTAAACAAATTGAATGACGGTCACTGTTTACCTTCTTGACCGATTAGAATTCAGCCTTGGTTGTCAATTTGCCGAGGAAAAGATACTCCGGAATATCAGAGATATATTCAAGACAAATTCATGGGGGCAGTAAACCAACGTCGAAATATTAAAGCAAAAAAGTCAGATTACTGGTTTCACACACAATTTTTGACGAAAAACGGATCCATTTTGCCAAGAAGCACTCTTCAGCATCAGCT